GGGGTGGAAGGGGGGGTGCATATATAGCACCAGACACCTTAAAGATTTGATTTTTATTTCTGTGTAGTTTTCAAATTTGGATTTTGTTATCATATATTATAAGGCTTATACAGATATATGCAAAATAGAGCACCAGAAACATTAAAGATTGGATTTTTATTTTTAGGTAATTTTCAAGATTGGATTTAGTTTATCATATATTCTTTTTTAAAGACTGAAATAGCTTAGTGGGTTGTGAAAAGATTGAATTTTTCTCACTTGGTAGTTTACAAGATTAGAAGGGGACACTTAGCGTAGTTGGTAAGTTGGTGCCATGTAACCAATAGGTCACGTGTTCGAACTTGTAGACAGCTTCTTGCAGAAATGCAAGGGTAAGGTTGCGTTATAATAGACTTTTGTGGTCCGACCCTTCCCGACTCGGCGCAAAGAGGGAGCTTAATAAACTGCACTTCACCTTTGTCAGTTTTCAAGATTGGATTTGTTATCATATGTATATAGATATATGCAAAGTAGAGCACCAGAAACATTAAAGATTGGATTTTTATTTCTGGGTAATTTTCAAGATTGGATATTGTTTATCATATAATCTTTTTTAAAGACTGAAATAGCTTAGTGGGTTGTGAAAAGATTGATGGGAAAGAAGAAAATTTTGAAGAAGACAAAGGAGTTATCAGTAGCAATAGCAGAATCATCAGCAATGAGTGGAGACTCTCAACAACAACAGATTACTCCTAGGAAAAGAGGAAGACCAAGGAAAATTATTGTAAAAAATGAAGAAGAGACAACTGGAGAAGTAAAGAAACTCAAACCAAATGAAGGTGAAGAATCAGAAAATAAAGAAGAAGCAGAAAGAGAAAAGAAGGAAGAAGAAGAAGAACAATCTGAAGAAAATTTAGAGCCACAAAAGCAGCAACCTACAAGGAGCAGAGCAAGAAGAAAAAGCAAGCCAAGAAAGAGCTGCTAAAAATCACTTTAAAAAGTCTCCTTTTTCTTTGTAGGTAATTTTTGAAATAAAGGGAAGTATGAGTCTTTCGAAAACCACCTCTCTATCTTCACAAGATAAAAATAACGTCTCCGTACCCTAAATCTCACTTGGCGGAATACCATGGTATGTTGTTGTAAAGGGAAGTATCAAAGATGAACAAGTTTATTCATCTATTGGAATTTGTTCCTTGTGCTGTTAGTTTTTTGGTTTTAGTATGTCCATTTTAAATTTTTAATTGTGAGAAACATTTTGTTAGGAAGGAAATGGTCAGCTTTTACACTCTGGATTGAATTGTGATATTGACTGTAATGACTTTTGTGTAAAGTGTGCTCAATTCAAGAAAGTTGGATAAACACTCTGTATAGACAAAATTTCATGCAGTTTGGCACTTTTGATTAGGATGTGCTCTTCTTTGAAAAGGAATGAGAAAAGAAAAGTAAAAAAAAGGCAAAATAAATTGCATGATCAGGATTATCAAGAGTTTAATTTTTATATATATTTTTACTATACCGTTTATAATACGTTGGAGTAGTAAGCTGAAAACGAGACAAGTAATTTGTTATAGATTTGGCGCAACTTTTTTTACCATCAATATATGTATAGTAAATCATTTTGGTATATAAGTAGCTTGCACTCTAATACTTATTTAACTGATTCTTAATTAAAGAAGACTTTAAATAATTTTTTCGTTTCAATTTCTGTGATTTTTTTTTCTCATTAGTCTTTTTTTGAAAAGAATAACTCTTTTTAAGCATCGAGTCAAACCTACTGGGACTGAGGAGATTAGTGTGTATACAAACTTTTCTTTATTGGTCGCAGCTTTTGCTAAAGAGCAATTTTGAGGGGATTTTGTCAAAAAGATGTATGCTCTTTGTTTTTTATATGATTTTGTGGCTAGGGGATGTCATATTCGTCTGGGCAGACGTGAAGCATTTTCCTTCTCTGAATTCTGCAGTGATAATCTGATCATTTATTGTCTCTGCAATATGAGGCTGTCTCATCTCATGTAGCAATATGATTTTTTACGCAGAATCAGGCTAAATCAAATGTGAAATTTTTCTGCATCCAATTTTTTTAAAAAGTTATTCTAGTCTCCCATGACTAGTAATGTTTAGTCTTATTGTATGTGATATTATAACATTATAATTTATACGTACCAATGAAGTTTACAATGAGTACTAAGGGGTCGTTTGGTATGACGGATACATAAAAATTATTTTGGGATAAAAAATTTAGTACCGCCTTATTCTTTGTACGGTTACTAATTCTGGGATAGATTATTCTAGGGTTAAAAGTAGTACCGGAATAACTTATACCTGCCTGAGGATGGAACAGTAATCCTTAGATAACCTATCCTAGGATAAAGCAGTAAAGTTTACAATCCCAGGATTAATACAACTTACCAAACAATCAATAAGAAATAATACCAGGATAACTAATCCCAATATAACTAACTCAGCATAACTTCTTCAAACCAAATGACCCCTAAATTCTTTTCCTGTCAGTATTGATGAAGGTGCTAACTAGGGGTGTCATTGGTTCGGTTCGGCCGGTTATCTTATAAGATAGGCATCATATCAATTTTTCGGTTATTCTGTTTTGTATAACCAAAATTGGACTTTTCGAAACCGTCTAAATTATCTCAGTTCTCTTTCATATCGGTATGGTTCGGTTAATTTTTGGTACTTTTCTTAAAACATCATGTAAGAGTCGCTAGTAGAAGTTAGAACGCGATAAAATATGAACTTATTTAGGACTTTGGCAAAATTTTCTAGATATTTCTACAAACAACATAAATATGGAACACACGATTTGGAATATATTAATCAAGATTATACTCAAGAATATAGTTTATTATAAGATTAAGTATACAATAAGAAAAATCTAAATCATAGGAGAGAAAAGATATTCGATACCTTAAGGTTTACTACTCAAGATCGCTGGAATACCTTGCTACTCAACATGATAGCTAGAACTGATTTAGTTCCGATAGGAGTAACATAATAGGTTTGAAAGTTGAGACTTTGGGCTTTAATTACTTGTTAGCGTAAAAATTGCACGGGGCGTTCTATTTGATCGCCCCCATTTAACCTATACCTATTTTTTAAAAAAGTTTTAACTTGTACCCACTTTTTAAACAACTTTAGCCCCCTTTCTCCTCTTCCTTCTCCTCCTTCGTTTTTCTTCTTCTTCTTCTTCTTCTTCTTCTTCTTCTTCTTCTTCTTTCTTCTAATGCTGTTGGTGCTGTTATGAAACTTCAGTTCATGGGATGATTGCCATAAATATGTTTACTAGATTATTTAAAAATAAATTATAAATAATTATGTAAGTTAGTAGACAATAATTTGTGAATATTTCCACGTACGTAAGTTAGTAAACAATGATAATTCTGTTCTTTTCACGTTTATTATTTCCAAAATTTATGATTTAGATAATGTTCGCAATCTGATTATTTATCTAGTATGTTAGAAAGCTTTTTCAAAAACTTCAACTTATATAGTGCTGAAGTTTTTACAAATGAACTAAATAACTTCAGAATCTTCTGCTGAAGTTTTTGAAAAAGCTTTATGACAAAACTAATGAATCCAGGACAAAACAACTTCAGCTTTTAATGCTGAAGTTTTTATAAATGAACTAAATAACTTCAGCATCTTCTACTGAAGTTTTTGAAAAAGCTTATCCAGGACAAAAAAAACTTTAGCTTATTTAGTGCTGAAGTTTTTATAAATGAATTAAATAACTTCAGCATCTTCTGCTGAAGTTTTTGAAAAAGCTTAATGACAAAACTAATGAATCCAGGACCAAAAAACTTCAGCTTATTTAGTGCAATTACAAACAAAAACTTCAGCAAATAGAGAACAAAACTTCAGCTTGCAATTACAAACAAAAACTTCAGCAAATAGTGAACAAAATTTTAACTATTATGCTTAAGTTCAGTAATTACAAACAAAAACTTCAGCAAATAGAGAACAAAACTTCAGCTACTATGATTAAGTTCAGCAATTACAAACAAAAACTTCAGCACACTTGCTACTTCAAGCCAGTCTACTAGAATGCTGAAATTTTACGTGATTGTCTTTGCTACTTCAGCCCCGTATGCTGAAGTTACGCGAAAAAGTGGGTACGCTTGCAATTTTTTTTTTGCAAAGCGGGGACAAGTTAAAACGTGACCCAAAAATCGGGTATAGATGCAAATGCCCCCTTGTTAGCTTGTAAATGTTTCTATAATCACAAGGCCCAAGAAAAAAATTACTCCATCTGTACCAATAGATGGCACACTTTTCTTATTAGTCCGTTCCAAAAAGAATGACACATTTTTACAATTGAAAATTATTTCGATTTTAAACCCTTCATTTTGTCCGTTTTACCCTTAATGGGAAGTTTTTATTACCACACAAATGTCATAGCCCCCACAAAGTTTTTACCCCTTAAACTTTTAAGATCATAAGTTTCAAAAGTATTTTTTTCCTCTCTTAAACTCCGTGGGCGAGTCAAACTTACTCATCTATATTGAAACAAAGGGAGTAATGTTTTCTTATTTTTAAATTTAATATATAAGATATACTTTTCTTATATAAAATTATTCGGCGGCGGCTCGATATATTTTCGATTTATTTTTATAAAATTAAAAATTTACCCTAATTATTCGTGCGGTTATAATTTTATATAAAAACCTACCATTTTATTTTAGAAAACCTAATAATCGGTTCGGTTTAGTCGCACCTCTAGTGGTAACCAGCCTTGCCTCTGAGTATCAAGTGTTCATAGGAGGATAGATTATGCCTGAAAATTCTGATTTATACTTTCATTCATCTCATATCCTATCTTACTTATTTCTTGTTCAATTGATGTCAATAACCTGTCCCCATTTATATGTTTTAAATGGTTCTTTTTCTATACAATCTTTTTTTTAATGGTAAGCATTTCAATTTCCACAAGACTGGTTAGAATATTTTTGCTTTTGCAATACTAAAACAAGAGAATATATTTCTCAAAAGTTCATTTGATAAAACAAGTTATTTATGTGAATTGGTAATGGTTACTCCTTTATCTAACATTTTATAGGAAATCATCAATAAACACAAAGTTATAACCTTAAAGAGTAATACAGATGTATCCAACCAAAAAAAAAAAAAAAACAAA